AGATAAGGGATCTCCCTGTCTGACTCCTTTTCCTACTTTGAATGGCTGACTTTTCTTTTCTAACTGGATTCTGGCTGTACTATTCCTGTACACGTTTTTTATTAATCTAATGTATTTAAGTTCAATCTCTTGTTCAACTAATGCTTCCCATATGTTTTTATGTAGAAGAGAATCGAATGCTTTGCTGTAGTCGATAAAGGAAATGTAATATGTCAGCTGGTATTCGCTGTATTTCTCAATAACTTGACGAACTACATGGACGTGGTCTATTACCGAATAATCCTTACGAAATCCCGCCTGCTCGATGGGTTGGTGCTCGTCTAGCGTTCTTTCAATACGTTTTAGAATGATCTTTGCGAAGATTTTGTAAATGTTTGACATAAGGCTGATGGGGCGATAGTTTCCTATTTCGTGTTTATCTCCTTTCTTATACAACAGGATAATGTTTGATTCAGTCCATTGCTGGGGGATTATTTCAGTGCTTATGATGTTGTTAAACATATCTGTAAGAACAGGTGTTAACACTTCCTTTCCTTGTCTTAAGATTTCATTGCTTATGCCGTCAGGACCTGGTGTTTTATCTGCCTTTTGAGTGTCTATGGCTTTCTCGACTTCAGCTTGAAGTATGGTAGGGATGTTTGAGGTATCCGCCAAATCAATTTCGTCTTCTGTTGTGTTACTTTCGTACAGTCTCTTGTAATAAGAAGTTGCTATATCTAATATTTCTATTCTTCGATGATTCCATTTTCCCCTGTGATTTTTCATTTTAACAATCCAATCCTTTGAATTCCTCAACTCTCTGTACGCCTTTTTGACTCCACCCGTTTCGCTTATAATTTTTTCTATGATTTCCATTCTATTTTGTTTCCTGTCCTTTCTTATGCTATCTGTAATTTGTTTACTTATTTCCGTTAAATGTTTTCTTCTGTCCTGTATATCTTTAGTGTTAATTAAGTGGTTTCTCGCTTCTAGTAGTTTTGTGGTATTTGTTGTTAGCCATTTTTTTGGTTCAGTTTTGTTATTTGCAATTAGTTGTATTTGGGTTTTTATAGTATTTTCTATCCAATTGTATCTTTCTTGTGTTCCTAATTCTTTTGTGTTAGATTCGTAATCTGTAAATTTGTCTTTTAGAGCGATTATTATTTGTTCTAACTGATGTTTTCCAAGCTTAACGTTTCCTAAGTCATGCCTTGGTCTAGGTTTCTTTGGTTGATTTGATATTAGTTCTGCTCTTATTAGTTTATGGTTAGTGTTGAAGTTCAATTTCTTGATTACGGTAAAGTTATTTCTTATTTTTCCTGAACACAGTATTTAAGATAGTTAGATTATTTTCTAGTGCAAAGTTTGTAATATGTTCTCCATTTCTACTTCTGGGTTTATTACTGTATGTAAAAGGGCCCAGTATATTTTTCTCTTCCGGGCGCCTTTCTCCAAGTTGGCCGTTACAGTCTCCCATTATTATAAGGTTTTTATGACCATGCTCGTGAATCGCATTATTTAGATCAAGGTAGAATGCATTCATTGTATCTTGACTCGACTGTTCAGTAGGCGAATAAATTTGTACTATTGACCAAGGATCTTTGTATCCAGGTAATTTCAAATTCATTATCGCAATACGCTCCGATATACCTACAAATCCTTCCACGTGTTTTGTTATATGTTTCTTGACAATAAATCCAACCCCATAGAGTCCCGGGGTCTCTCCTATATGGTAAAATGTGTAATCTGGATAGGATATGATATTTTCACCCATTCTTCTCACTTCACTGAGGCCAACAATGTCCCATTTGATGTGTTTTAAATCATACATAAGTTCTGTAAGGTTTTCTTCACTTTTCAAAGTACGTTGAGTGCTGCGATAAAGATTTTAGATTTCTGAGCTATATTGGAGTTATTGTTTTTGTTGTTTTTATTTTTATTGTCACTTATTGTTGGAGGGTTGTGGTCTCGTTCCCCCACGAGGACCAGTCGGCTTGGGGGAGGTTGGTATATTCTTGATTCATTGTTGCCAGTTTCTTCGGTTGGTTTTGGTTTCCGTTTGCCGATTCTTAATTGTTATTGTTTTCCTGTAGTAGTTATATTTGAAAGAGAGTTAGACCTACCCCGCATCGTATCAAAAACGTTTGTCCTGTTTGATTTGATTGAAGCAATCTGTTGTTTTTTAGGTTGGTTAATGGGTGATAAGGGGTGATGAGCAATGGGTGAGGTAGATGATTCTCTTTTCCGTTTATCTTAGTTCTTTTTATTCTCTATAACGATTAGTTTGTCATATTTCAAATAAGCTATATTGCCTTTTTTCTTTTCTTCTGCTAGCTTGGCTTGTAACGTTTTTCGCTTTTCTAACACTTCTTTTGAGTAATCTTCACTGATATTGATTTTGCTGAGGTTCTTTTTGTTTTTAATAATTTCGTTCTTTTTCCAATTGCTTACAAACGAACAAAGTACTGGCCTCGATTTTTTAATTTCTCTATTTTTAGTACCTAAGCGGTGAATTTTGTTGATTTCGTAATCTTCTATAGTTATATTCAGATCTTGTTTCAGATGCTCCTTAAATTCTTTTAGTAATTCGAAAGTTGATGTTTCTTTTTCTTCCAGGCCAAATACTATGATATTATTTTTCTTCTCCGCTCTTTTCATAAAATCAATTTCTTTTTCTAATTTTTCTACTTTGATTTTCAAGGTTTTGTTTTCTTCCACTAAAGGGATTAACTTATCATCGATTTTGTCCATAATACTTTTTGTGATAGAATCCTTCAATTCAGCGGTTTGGCTTTGCATCTCAATTTTCATTTTGTCAAATAATATTTTAAATTGACCTTCCATTATATTGTTATGAAGTTGTAACGTAAGTTGGAACGTAATAGTAAAATTTATTTTTGTGGTTAGCAACACTGGTTGTACTGTCAGTGTCTCAAACGTCAGTCTTGTTGACGTTGCCAAGACAGATGTCGGTAAATAATGTCTGTCGTGCTTTGTAACCTCAAATCAGTAATGATGTTGTTATTCTAATTTATCAACAATCGCACAAATCTGATTATCTTTAAACACTTCACAGATGTTTTAGTTGCGTTTTGTGGCGAAGTTTGAACCAAAAGCTCGCTTTAACTATTTTTATTCACTTAATTTCTTCAGAAGGTTCTCACTATGGTGTTGACTGTTCTAACGCCGGAAACGGAAAAACCTATGTACATACATATGCAATATATAGTGTATATATATATATATATATATATATATATATATATATATACTAATCGTTAAAACTATAAATAATCTCAATATTCCACTCACAATATTCACTGACATTTACAGATTAGAGAATCTATTTTTGCTTCAAATAAAGCTAACATACTATGATGAGATAACAAAGCGAATTGATAATTTGCTATTAAAATAATGCGAAGTCCAACAATTTGATAGGGCAGTGAATTTGATAGCGAATTACCCTCGTTTCGTTAGGGTGCGGTGCGTAATAGAAGCTTTCTAACAGGTCATAGGCATTCAGCCCTTTTTAATGCCCCACTGCTGGGCACGGGCCTCCCCACAATACGAGAAGGATCAAGGCATAGTCCACCACGCTAGCCAAGTGCGGGTTGGCGGACTGGACATGTCTTTCGAAAACGTGCTAGATTTTCTCAGACATGCAGGTTTCCTCACGATGTTTTCCTTCACCGTAAGGCAAACGGTAATCATGTTAAATGATTTGTTGAATGTTAAAAATGATTCGCACATGAAAATATCTAAGGTGCGAGACCTGGGATTTGAATCCGCTTCACTCGGTTTCTCAAGCGAGCGCGGGACCACTGGGCTACCACTGCCCATAAACAGGTCAAAGTACGCGTATAAATTTATAAATATATAGTCCAGTCGTTTCAGCGTAAAGGAGAAACAAACATACAAACCTTTGCATTTACAATACTAGTAGTACCTACATTATAATATAATAGTAATGTAAATTAAAAAAATCTTGACATGGCTTTTATCAGGTTAAAATCCTAAACATCGAAACCATTACCAAAATGTCCAATGCGTATTTTGAGCCAATAATACAAATTTAATTATAATATATCAATCATGCTCTAAATGGTCGAATTACAGATAATGTGATTCCTTACAAAAAAACTCATCTGTGCAAAGATAAAAATAGCCTATAACATTCAGGGATTATATTACATTTCGTAACAAAGGAATTTCTATATCGAATAGATGCGAATATTATATCTATGTTTTTACTTCTCTCTGTAATATTAGTTAAAAACTAGCGATTTACCCTGGCTTCGCTCAGGTTGGTCCCTCGGTACGTTTTAATTTTGTTGAGGGGAACCCTAATTCTTTTTTTTAAATTAAAATAAGCCTAAGTTACTCCTTATAACATCAGCCATTGCCAGTAAGTCCCGTCATAATCAGACTAGCCGTTTCGGAGATTAGCCGTAATAAACAGACAGACAGACAAGCATTTAAAAAAATGTTTATTTATTTATTATAAATAGGTACCATATACAATTTCATATACATTTAGTAAAAAGCTGTTATTTTGACGTTATAAACAGACACTTTAATTTCATTTATCTGTTCATTCATGAATTTAAATCAAAATAATAACCAAAGTCAAGTTAGAAAATTATGGGAATTGACCCTGCTACGTAAACGACTTATGAAGGACTAGCGACACTTGTCGTAATGATGGTTTCTCATTAGCAGAGTGGAGTGTGAGAGGGTGGGCAACCCCTTGGATGTGTGATCTGCTTTGGCAGACTTGCCGTCGTGTTTGAGTGAGTAAGTGGGTTAGTAAGAGTGGGTTTTAGAGGATATTACTGGCTTTTCTACCCAGTGAATCACACATAACCACCTGTATGTACACATGTGGTATGCATAAATGCATTTCCCAACATTAAAAAAAAGGTCAGTCTATGTATCTGTGTACTATGTTTCATGAAAATCCTACAAACTAACAAACATACACACATACGAATTTTCGCATTTAATATTCCGATACATACCTTATCAATTTTGTTGCCAACAACTAAACACACTATGTTCTTTTTAGTAGAATAAACTTGTAGTTCTTCCACCCATTCGTTCAACTTTTGCAGTGTTTTTGGTTCTGACACGTCGTATACTAGAATTGCTCCGTGTGCGTCCCTAAAAGAATAACATAAGTGTGAAGAAATGTACTTAAATATATATATAAAATTGAAAAGTCTGTCTGTGACGTCGAAATAATCGACTGTTCTAAGCTCAAATCCAACTTCATATACAACATATCTATCTTGTTATACCTATATTATTATATCATTATATATCATTATCGATATTTTCATATCATTTCGATAAATATAAGGTGTTTTTTCTTAAACTAGCACAATTTACAAAAAAAAGCTATTTTATCTCGAGTTTTTAATCGAAATTTTTTTTTTGTTTACACACGTCTGCCTCAATGGTCTAGTGGTTAGCTTATGGAGCCTGAGACGATAAGACTTTCTGAACAAAAAAAACAGTTATCGAGTTTTTATGTCAAGAAATTCCCAGAGGCATTTTTGTAGTTGGTGGTGTTAGCACGTTAAGCGACAATGAAGATTTAACAGTAGGTAGCTTGCAGTTAATTCATGTGTACGCTTTCTGAAAGAATATTGATTTTTTGTACCAAAAAAATCTAACTAACGCTATATAAAAGCTATAATAATATGGAACTAAATACAAGGAAAATGATAGTTTTAGAGTTTAGACTTTTTAAATCTTCATTTATAAGACGTAAATTATTTAAAATTTACTAACTTTTGAGTTGTATATTTAGATAAAATTAACTTGTACATGTAAGAAATTGTGTAAATAAAAAACATGTTTGGATATGTCCTTTCTTCCTGTTTTGTAGTAAATTGATCATTTGATCATCGTATCATCTATACGTGTAATAAAATTGTAACTAAGCCGAATCTGTACATTAAATATTTTCTAGAAAATCTTATTGAAATAGACATTTTTATCGATAGAGGCCGTATCTAGTTTTTAATTTTTTTATCTGTCTGTCTGTCTGTGTGTGAGCACATCACAAAAAACCACTGGATAGATTTTTAAAAAATGTAGTACGATGATAGCTGGTTATCCGGGTCAATATATAGGATACTTTTTAATGCGAAAAAATATCTCATCTTTGAGCTAAGAGTTAAAACGTAATCAGGGACGAACCCGACTCCGAGCGGAGCGAGGATGGGTCGCTAGTAAGGTATAAAAATGGCGATTGCTATATTTTCAAACACACTTAAATGCACAGTATTAATATTATTATAATATCTACACCGTCTATCATTTTGTGCCAATAACGTGATCACTTAAGCATATAATCAAACAAACAGTCAAATACGCTTCCGTAAGCTTGCCTATTAACTCGTGCTTATCAAGCATGCTGTTCCGTGTTCCGCAAGACATAGCGCGGTATGAAGCACCAAGCTAACAAGCAGAATTTCCATACATAAGTATATAATATATAAGAGAAAGTGAAAAAGAAACTATATATTTTATCTATTCTATAGCGAATCTGTGCCATAAAAGATTGAATAAATCTAGAATTCCACCAGACAAGAAAAGCCGCCATTAAAATCGATTTAACTGTTTCGGTGGTTAGTGAGTGAAACCAAACAGACAAAAATTTTTTATAGTATTTCAGGCGGTACGATGCTGATCAGATAAGGTTAATATACTATATTATGTAGCTATTCTGACACCGCACATTGGCTGTTATTGGGTGAATTTAAATTTCAGGCATATGTTTATATCAATTCTAAGCAATTTAGATTTTCTTAATATATCAAAATGAAAATATTTTAGATTTTCTAAATACAAATAAACCGGCCAAGTGCGAGTCGGACTCGCGTACGAAGGGTTTCGTACCATTATCTATAAAAACGGCAAAAAATCAGATGGAATCAGATAAGATGGGAGCCTCCCTTAAATATTTGTTTTATTTTAATTCATTTTTTTTTTAGTGAATATATAACTAAATATTCTGTGAATATTTCAAGCGTCTACCTGTTACCGTTATCAATATCGAGCAAAAACGAGCAAAAAAATCACGTATGTTGTATGGGAACCCCCTTAAATATTTATTTTATTGTTTTTTAGTATTTGTTGTTATAGCGGCAACAGAAATACATCATCTGTGAAAATTTCAAATGTCTAACTATCACGGTTAATAAGAAACAGCCTGGTAACAAACGGACGTACAAACAGACAGACAGACGGACAGACAGCGGAGTCTTAGTAATAGGGTTTTTTACAGATACACAAAAAAAAATTACCAGAATTAAACTTGTAATATCCAAAATATTATATAAACTTTTGGCTTCAATTATATATTTTCTTTTCTATGAATATTCATATTCACATTCACATTCGCAAATGTGAAAATTCAAACATTTGTTACATCACTACTGCATATTATTTAAACTTATAATCATACTAAAATATAAAATATAATAAAGAGAAATAATATATCTTTACCAAATAAATGGTTAAATAGATCATAAAAGAATAAAAAATATACCTTAACAACTACTCACCTATAAAAACTATTTGTTAGAGTCCTATACCGTTCCTGTCCAGCAGTGTCCCAGATACCAAGCTTCACTTTCAAACCGTTCACTTCCATAACCTTGCATTTGTAATCAACTCCTATGGTCGCAGGGAACGATGCATTATAGTCCCCTGTTGTGAATGCTAATATGATACTAAAAAGAAATTATTAATAAACAAGACTTTCCATATAAATTAATATCCACCCGTTTGCATACATTATTTTTCTACAAATTTATAACAGATTATGCTCGAGGCTGAAGATTTTAAAATAAATGTATAAATTTGTTTAAACTTCAAAGAATGTTGAATAAAATACATACAAAAAACATCCATGACAACCATATCCTAAGAATATAGATACCCTATAGCGTAATATAAAGAATAGTGTTGTTTTAAAATGTTTATAAATGTAAATAATTTAAATAATAAACATATAAAATAGGTTTCATTAATTATAACACTTTGACTATAATATCAATGCAAACCAATTTTAAAGGTCAATTAATATTAGTTGTACATAAAAAAAATAAAAGAAAAATATATCTTTGAGTATTCCTACCAAAGAAGACAATTATTAAACATCCTTAAAAAGTTTCTGTAAAAGTTTCTTCTAGTTTACTAGCAATACCATTGATCAAATATAAGTACTAGATACACAATCCCATGCAAAACTTCTTTTAAAACTGTCACCAATTGTGTTTAGGTAATTATTCTAGTTTAAATAAATAATACAATAATGTAAATTAAACCTTAAATGCAATGCTTTAAGTCGTTTACACAAAAAATGTACTAAAAGTGCACTCAAATGTTCAAATGAGTGTTAATTCTGTGAAGACTTTTTTGTCACTGATTGCATATCTAGTAGGTACTTTTTTCATATCAATCAAACATCTTCTGATGAACAACACTGAAAACTTATTACATTAAGTAAATCATCATCTCCCTGAACATTTCCCAATCACTTTGGGTCACACAGTATGTGTTCCGTACTGCTGATAAGATTTGGCAAAAGTTTTACGAACGGCCGCCTGCCTGACATCAACACTACTTAGGAATCACACTAAGTAAATATTATAACAAAATCTTACAATATCATAAGGATAAATATTTAGTTATCTTCTCTAAAATAATGTTCATATATTATATCATTTTACTATTGAATCATTAGTATTATTCATGAATCTTTCTAACATATAAAAGATCTTTAAAAACTCATTTAGTGTAATTTTATGCACTTGTCGTTTATAAAAATCATCTCCATATTTAATGTAACAGTTATTATTATACAAAATATTTGTACAATAAAAATATTGAGGGGCACAAATTCAGAATTGGGGACTTGGCCCCTAGCGGAGTGGGTGGTATTTCTGGATAAGGGACGTGATAGGGAGTCGAAATGTTAAATAAATTTTTTAATACAACAAAAGATTCAAAAGTTATTGAGACTTAAAGTTACAACATTTCCATACATTTTCATATATTTCTTTACCACCATTCGGAGTGGGTGGTATTTTTAGATAGGGGAGGTGACAGAGAGTCAAAATATATTAAAAATATTTGGAGGAAACGTACGACTAAAAAGTTATTGAGACTTAAAGTTATAACATATCTAACACATTTCCATACATTTCTTTACTTAAATAAGTGATTACAACAGATAAACATACCTTTAACGAATAGTACGCATCCTTTTTTATGTACATTACACATTTTCACAACAATTAATGCTTTATTGTATTTAATATTTTAATAATTTCACAACACAAACAAAATGATCTTACATTTTGACAAAAGCAAAACTGACACTTTGTTTTATATTACCGCTTAAATGACAACAGATTATATTTGATTATTTTTGCTTTTTCTGTTGGTAAAATATTACTATTAATAAATAAATAAATAAAAAGAAAAATATTATTTTCACTTTATAAATACATTTATGACTTTTTATTTGATTTATGTAAAATATATTGTTTTACAATTGTACATTTAGTAAAAAAAATCATTTTTTTATCTGTGAATATTTTTAATTATTTATTTATTATTCGTCATATCTGGGTTAGGTTAGGTTAGAACATTTAAGATTATTTATTTATTATTCCCCATATCTGGGTTAGGTTAGGTTAGAACATTTAAGATTATTTATTAATTATTCGTCATATCTTGGTTAGGTTAGGTTAGAACATTTAAGATTATTTATTTATTATTCCTCATATCTGGGTTAGGTTAGGTTAGAACATTTAAGATTATTTATTTATTATTCCTCATATCTGGGTTAGGTTAGGTTAGAACATTTAAGATTATTTATTAATTATTCGTCATATCTTGGTTAGGTTAGGTTAGAACAGTTGCCACAACGCACGAGCCGAGCGAGCGAAGCGAGCGTGCCGCGGTAGCGGCCGGCGAGTGCCATAAATGACTAGAAAACTAGAAAATTCGAATTTCACGCAAAGTACAAATAAAGACAATCATCTGGAGATCATTTTGACAATTGAAAGTGACGTTTTGACTCCAAGTGTCTAAATGGTAGTAATGTCAAAATAATGTATGGAAATGTTATAACTTTAAGTCTCAATAACTTTTGACTCTTTTGTTGTATTAAAAAATTTATTTAACATTTCGACTCCCTATCACGTCCCTTATCCAGAAATACCACCCACTCCGCTAGGGGCCAAGTCCCCAATTCTAAACGGCCGCCTATTGAGGACTACGAATAACCACATTTACTATGTATTTTTGGTAATATACTTAGTTTATATAATTATGTGTAATCAAGCTTCATAGTGATGTAATCATAGACCTAGAATTACGCTTTACAGTCTAAATTTATTAATAAAAAGTAAATTGTCATACAAAATTAATATTATGTTATTACTTACTATGAGTCATGGTATTTTTAGTGAAGTCAAAAACTTACCTAGATTTTCCAACTCCACTCTCTCCGATAACTAGAATCTTAAGTGTAGTAACGTAATCCATTATATTATTATGTACCTATTCTTAATCAATCTAGACTATTTTTAAGAAGTATAATAACTATATTGCTCCTTTGTTGCACGAACACGGAAATGACACAGTCTATTTATATTTAGGTCAAAGAACTTAATATATAAATTGATAATATGTTTCTGTTGTACGAATCACAGATTAGAATTGGTTAATACATAAACTCATTAAATAAATAACGTAAATGTATTGAAAACAATATTTGTTAAATTTGACATATATGACATTTTGCGTCTTGAAAATTGAAATCATTGGATGACGTTTCATGCGTTCCGTTACTGCTATAATACTTACAAAAATTATTATACATTAAAATATTACTTTTATTGATTACTAAAAATAGGTTTTTCGCTTATTTTACTAAATAAAATGTAGTTTTTAAGTTACTATGTATATTACATACCATATTATTATGATTTAAATTTAAAATCATTAACTCTGCGTTTAGTTTTTGCTTATAAATTTCAACGACTGATTAAGGTATTGATAAGATACCAATTTACCAAATAATAATACGAATTACGTACACGTATGTGCGTATAATACAATATATGTGCGTAAAACGAAATCAAATATGTAAGTCCAAGTTTAAAGGTCTCACTAGAAGCCATCGAATCCCATATTATCTTGGCCGTGAAATGTGTCGTTTGATTGAGTAATGCCAGCTTTTTTTACATTTGAGTTTCGACCCTACTCGCTGTCCCAGCGGTCGGGGGTTCGAGTCCCGCTGGGGGTATTCATTTGTGTGATGATGTTCAACATTCGTGATGTGTATGCTCCGGTCATGGGTGTTTATATTTATAATATGTATGTATTTAAAGTTATATATATGTAGTGTATCGACTGGAATGAAACTACGTAGATGGTGTTGTGTATTAACGTTCTAACACATTTATATTTATTTATTTATATATATTTAAATTGCCAATATTTTGGTACAAAAGATAAAGCTTCATAGAAATATCCGAACTGCATCAAATAAAAGACACTATATCAGAATTGCTAAGAGTAGTATGGTCAATGGTGCCCCTGCGTACTTATGGTTTGAGTCCGATTGTCTGATATCCAGCAAAGTTACCTATCTACTTCTTAAGACATTTTAAATTTAAGAAAGTATTCTAAGAAAGTATTACTTCAAATGAATGAAACTATGGATAAGTTCAAATATTATGTCGCCTCAATTAAAATAAATACATCAGTCAAAACATCGATCACATCATTTTAAAAGTGCAGGAGTGTTATTTATTGCAATTTCTATATGCTTTACTTTACTTAAAACATGACAATGTGAATGACATGAGAATAAATATTTTTTTTTAAATAAAAAGGATTTTTATATTATACAAACATGAATCGTAAAGCCTTTAGTATTATTCAAAAAGCATTATTCTGACAGCAAAAATATATTGAGTGTTGTTTTTGTTAAATTGATAAAATCACAAGTTGTAAGTAAAATAAATATTTGCCTGATTTCGGTCAAAACTCTAAAAAGTTTAAAATACAAATTCATAATTAGGTAGAACAATTAAATTGAGTCCAATTATTAAACTAGTTTACTCTCTGCTTGAAAGTTAAGTAATTACGTTTGCAAAGCAACGAAATTCATCTTGTTTTTCACAAAATTTATTGCAATTCCTTTATATCATTATTTCTATTACGTCATTTAAATGGTTTATACTTTAAATTTGTCTTTCTCTCTCATAATATCAAGATTCAGGGTATACTCGTATGGATTATGTATTGCATTGACTGTAGCCTACCACATGATCCTTATATTGTGCACATATTCCTACACTGTTTAAACAATATTAAAAAATGAGTAAGGTTTGTAGGATGACACTAACGTATTCAGCCCTTTTTATCGTCCCACTGCTGGGCACGGGCCTCCCTTCAGTACGAGGGGAATCAGGCCATAGTCCACCACGCTGGCCAAGTGCGGGTTGGCGGACTTCAAATGTCTTTCGAAAACTTGCTAAGTTCTCTCAGACATGCAGGTTTCCTCACGATGTTTTCCTTCACCGTAAGGCAAGTGGTAATCATGTTAGAAATGATTCGCACATGAAAATATCAGAGGTGCGAGACCCGGGATTTGAACCCGCTTCACTCGGTTTCTCAAGCGAGCGCGTTACCACTGGGCTACCACTGCCTCGGTACACACGGACACTAATAAAACTTCGAAATATTCTTTGTATATATCTTTATATTCAGTACTTTTGCAATATCTATTTAATTATTTTAAAATCATCAGTATGTTTGCTCTTGTGGAAGCTGCCACCGGCTTGGAAAGCATTTCTGCCGAGAAGAGCAGGCGAGAAACTCAACGGTTGCTCTTTTAAATAATGAATTATATAATTTATTATAATAATTTACAATATTACAAGCAATTCGTGACTAGTGGTACCGACATCTGTGTAAAAGCGCGGGAAAACAAATAAATATCCGCGTCCTTTTTTTTAATACATTCCGATCGGCTAAGATCACATAACTAAATGCCTTATACAATATACATACATCACTACAAATTAATCAAATATATCATTTTCCATTAAAACACTCATAATATATAAAAGTGCAACCTTAGATGTTGAACATTTTTTTATATGTTCAAATAATTGGTAGTAAATATAGTAAGGCATAAATGATTGACACAAAAATATTAACGAACATGAGACAGTCTGTAGTTAATACAAACGTCACTTTTGCTAAGACTTCTCATAACTTCTCTTATCGTTGGAACGCTATCAAGAAATCAATCATAATACTCGTCCTCAAATAAAATTTGTTCTTTTATGTAAAAAATATATAAATAAAAACTATTAAGCATTAAATTGACATGATACAAAAACCCAAAAAAAAAATATATTAAACAATAAAAATGATGACTCTAAAGTTTATTTTTGAACGTCTTTTCATTTTCAGAAAAGCTAAACTGATTTAAGCGAGTCTGTATACAACAATTTGTCTCAGAAAAGGAAATTATAAAAATTGAAGCCACAATGTGATATAGAGATAGAAAAAAAAGCTTAGTTTAATTAGAATATATTTTTATTGGCAGATTAAGGAATCTAGTGACATTAGGTACCATAACAATATATTCCACCCATCGAACTTGTGACAATAGCTGGCAACTCCTACCCGCATGGATAAAACAAAAAACATAAACTCAACCCATTGCATAACTGATAAAAGAATTCCGCATTAAAAAAAAATTTGCTCAGCAAAAATCAAAATCCGAGCTATCTAGGGGTCATTTCGAGCCACACAAGGCGTAAGCCATTTCAACAAAACCTTTATTCAAATTCAGTCGTCGGTCGCTCATCGGTGAATGGAGCTATTTTATTCAATTCGGGAATAAATCTCACTTTCACTAATGCGTCATTGAATCCAGCATCACCCCTTCGCCAGTTTAGTTGGATTTATTTCGCCAATTTCACGATCGACTTCATCGTTTTTGCTTAAGCGTGTAGTCTAAATATATATTATATACTTACATACGAAACTTCCAGTGGTTTTTTTATTTGTTTTTAAGCTTACCTATTCAAATCATTTTTATTTCAACTAAGTTTTTTTATTCAACAGTGTTTGATTCGTTTTTTCAAATTGCTCAAATATATCGAATTCCTTTGCCTAGTGCTTAAAGACTGAATCCCAAAATATTGAGAGGGTAATAAGAATTTGATAAAATCGTCTGAATATAAATTTCAGGACTAACTTCACGGTCTGATAATAACGGTTGAAATATCGTATTATCTGAATATCGATTTTTATAGATAAAGCGAAGGAGGTCAGAGGAAAGCATTCAACGTATGTAGGTCTGTATTCAATGGGTTTCGCCGACAAAACGTTTCTTTATTTCATTAGAAGTGGGACGTTATTGTACAGAGTGCAACGGATGCTCTCCAAGAACAATATTCTAAACAATTGTGCAGAATGAGCGTCATTAGAGATACAATTGCCTTATAATTTGGGTTGAAATAGTTTCAATTATAGTAAAAACTATTCGGAATCTCATTGAAATTTCTGGCCTTTATAAATTTTCGGTCAAAACTTCCAAATATTCGTTGAGAGGTGCATAAAGTAGTAATATAATATTTTTGTACGAGTGTCATATTGGGTATTAAAACTAATTGGTTTGTTAAAATAAAACGTAACTTTGAAGACATCTAAAATTACACTTTGAATTTATAAATTGATTGATCGTAAAACGCTTTCCTCTATTGTTAAAACAAACTATTTAGTATTTATACTCTAAAATAAATAAGACTCTATTAAAAGAGCACAAGCTATCCAATACTCATCCTTTAGTATAATGTGCTAGTTTTAGCAAAATCTTTTGCGTCGGAACAATCCACGCGCCAATCTTTAAACGTCGCGTTTGTAAAGTAGGGATTTTTCTTAGATGCAGCGTTGTTTTAGGATTTAAAGTTGTATGTGCTTAAAGTAACTTTTTGATGTTAAACAATTTAACAACTTCCTCAGTTTAAGATATAGTTTATGTTTTTAAGACATGATATTGGAAAGTAATAATACAATAATTTTCAACACATTAACTCTCTCGCAGTATACCTTCACTGCATAACATATCAGCAAGTTTTCGAAGGACGTGAAATCCACAAACCCACACTTGGTCAACATGGTCCCGGCTATGTCCTGATCCCCCATGCATAGAGGGGAAATCCGTGGTCAATAGTGGGATGTTAAAATGGACTGAATACATATGTTTTGTAATAACATTAAGTATTTAACTAGCAAAATATAATAATATAGTAAATGAAAAACTTGACTGCTTATTAATAAATTATTGATAGCAGTTTTTTTTCGATTCGAACGACCGTTTAGGCTATAGAGCGTGTTAAAGAAATAGGGATATGTATAAGCATATGTTCCAATAACATTGTCCTTCTATAGCAGTTATATAATTTCAGTATAATAAGATCTTGATCCAGAAAAATTGACATAAAATGTCCACGCGG